CGCCACGGGCGCTGCCGCCTCGGCTGCCGCTCCTGCTGCCCCCGCGGCTGCCGCCATCAGGTGCTGGTTCAACTGGTTGCCGTCGAGGAAGCAATAGTGGTGCACTCGCGGCTGTCACCCGCGATGGTCTCGTTGGAAAGTCAGCAGGCCACTCAGCGGCCAGGACAGGGGGTGGTGTGCTCGCTCGTCGCCGTACAGCGTGCCCAGCTTGTACCAGTCGGCGCTCCCGTCGTCGTTCAGCAAGCCGTAGGTATCCTGCTCGTAGTTGTGCTCGAACGGTAGGCGAATCTCGCCTCGGGGCGCACGGTGGCGGGGGTCGTGCCTCCGCTGTGCTCGCACTGGGGCGGGCACTGTGTGCTGGCTGTGTCTGGGCAAGTTTGAGCCGAAACCCTTCCGATGTCGGTGGGATGTGGGTCGCCAGGTGCGCCCTCAATTCTTCAGGGCCATCATGCCGTTGCTGACACTCTGGGCGATCCGTTTCATCAGATAACGGGCATCGCGTGGCAGAAGAAGGAATCCAATCATGACGGTGACGGGCGAGGTGTGGAATACAACGACCTGCTCTCCATGCGCCACTGAGATGCCTTCTTGTGTTGTCGATGCTGCTGAACAATGTTTGGCGGTTAAGACACTTGTTGTCAATAGTGATCACGGACAGTATCGGTGGGGTGCCGTGGCCAGGGAGGCTGGTCGCATGAATCTGATGTTTGACCAGTTCCCTGTTCGTCGCAAATCTCGCCCGACATCCTTCGATACCGCACCGAAGAGGAGCAAGTTCGGCCTCGTCGCTCTCAGCGTCCCCCACCTCCTCGTCCTCCTTCGGCATCATTTCCAGGAGAAACTCAGGTGGGGCCCATTCGCGGGCCTGAATCGTTGCTCGCAAAGCTCGAAAATCAGAAGCTCTGAAAACCTCGACGACCTCGGGATTTCCGAAAAAAACTTCCATAGCACGGGGTTGCCAGACTTCAGTGAGCTCTTCTCCGAACGGATGAGTGAGAACAACCTGCAGGTCCTGGAAGAACTGGAGGGCCCAGGGATGAACCTTGGCGGAGGAGTTAAGCTCCCCGTTGGGCAGTATCGTGACATCTGCTACCTCGTTCCCTGCTGCTCTCGCTCGCTGCTCAAAGAGATACTCTCCGAAGAAAATGCTCAAGTAGTGACTGTGGTGCGTAGGGTTCCCTGCAATGGACTGCCACCATCTTAGTCGTCGCACCATTAATTATACACCGGTGGGTGGTATCTGCCATTCTCGAAAGATCTGTATGGTGGTCCAAGATGTGTGTGTGTGCCGTCCTCGTGTTCAGCATGCGCGCGTCCGTGTAGCATTGCCCGTAGCTTCTTCGCCAGCGATGTGTCGAGATCATTTAACTCATTAGGCGTCAAGACGTACGCCTCGAGCCCCGACCAAATTCGACCTGCTACGTTAGCTAAAAATGTGCTGCGCATACTCCGCCAGGGTCCCGAGGAAAACCAATACTGTCGTAAATTGCACCAACCGATGGCGCCTGCTCGGATACGTGTATCGATCTCCTTCCTGTTACTGCCTTGCACGTGAATGAACCCGCCTAAATGAATCAAGTTCGTCTTGGGGCGTCCCGAGATCTGGTCCTCAGCTTGCTTAGTGTCCTTAACGTGTGCCAAGTGAACTAAGGTTTCTTGTTTAGCGACGTGCTGAGCATACCCGCCTTGAAGTAAGTGGTGATCTAGAATGCTGTTATCCAGATAGTCTAGTTGCAACGCTTCTGACACCGTGCCCGAAGGTACAATAATAATCCTGATCAAGTCGTCGATAAATCCTCCAGAAGATCCGTCCTCATCTTGATCAAGGAAAGGGCACGTGCACATAAGACTGTCTCCGATGATGTCGTTTAATTCGCGCTGCCAATCGCCGATCAGGGGGTAGAAGGCGTCCATAAATAGTTCTGGCTCGTTGGAATCACCCATCCTTCCCCCCGAGGCGGGGTGAGATTAGCGTCACCGTCCCGTGCTTGATAGTAGAGAATACCCGTGTTTCTGTGGTGCGTTAACAGCTCGTCGTAGTACTCATCCACCCCCCGTAGTCTATGTGCCTCGTACAGTCGCTCGTGCGTGCCTGTGCCGAAAGCGTTGCGCATGTCATATGACTTGACCAAGTAGTAGTAATGACAACTCCTAAGTTTCCACATGGTGATCTTCACGCTGGCCATGAGTTCCTCCCTACGCCGGTGTACAATGCCACCGCATGCCCATGAAGGGGGGTCAAACTTACTGCCGAAGTCCACAAGCCCGACTCTGAGTAACACTCGCCGCCAATGACAAAACAACGCAATAACCTTAGACATGTGGTGATGTCGGTGACGCTTTTTTTTCCTGTGGGTGACTTACCAGGTTTACTGATAGCGACTGCGTGACTAACTCGTGCCTGCTGAGGAAGAAGCTCACGCGCGCGTATGTGTGCTAACAGCTGGATAAACATGTCGTGCCCAACCTGTGCGTGCTCCGAGTCAATAGTGATCTTTCTCTGGTTCTTGGTAGCCTCGGTGACAGCGTCGAAATTCAATAAGTCGGGATCGCGTCGGCGCCACGTGGATCCTAGGCCTTATCTAGAGTGCCCAGGGCGAAACAGTAGGTCAGGGAATAGCAACAGCTTAGTGATCTCAACTGGCCAAGACCAAGGAGGAGAGTAACGTCGATGCGTACTGCGCCTTATTCGTTTCTTTATGTAGTCCAGGTCCTCCCCAGCCTTCTCGAAGTCATCGAAAGTAGGAAGGGAAAGGCGTGGCCCGTGCGCTGGGAGGTGCTCGAGGGGGGTCACGAGAAGTTCCTGGATGGCCTCAGGAAACAGGTACTTGCTCATGTGAGCTTCCTGCGCCGATAGGCCCCCGTCAACAGCTGGCATTCCCATGGCATGCTTGAAGTCCTCAGCACTCGGACGACTCGTGGGGGGGGCGAGGTAGCATCTCTTACGTGGTCCCATGTTCGTGCCTGCTAACAGCCTAGTAAGGTACCCGACTCGTGCCTGGCCTCGTACCTCCCACGCCTCCCGAATCTCCTGCTCGAGCGACTCCCTCCTCCACCTCTCCTGCCACCGACGATGCGCTCGAAGTTGATGGTCGATACGACGAAGCGACTCGCTCGAGACGGGGATGCCGTGGTCGCGCATCGCAGCTCGCTGTCGTAGTAGCCTCCTCCTCTCCTCCTTTGCCTCGGTGATCCACTCGGGGGTAGACTTCTCAGCCGAGAACGTCGCAACAGCAGCCTGCCGAATGATCTGTGCCACGACCCCCGCGTGCCTCGTGGGCTCCCCGTCCATAGTAAGTGCACGGCGTAGGGGGCGATGCTGGTTCCAAGACTCACAGATTTTGCTCATGAACTCCTCCCTCCTGTGACCCTTCTGCAAAGACGCTGCTAATGCTCCCCAATCCCACGCACATCCCTGCTGCTGCGTGCGTGGTGACGGAGAGGGAACACGAAACTGCAGGTACATAGGGACATGATCGATCATGTGGGTAAGTGTTTGTAAACGTCTCTGCGTATGCCAATACATAGCAATACGGATATCAGTATGCAGAAGCTCCTTGGGTCCAAGAAAATGATCAATACGACTCCTAGATCCTTTGTGGCCAAAGTAACTGGATCCGAGGTCATGATGTGTGTTGAGGAAGGCTAACTGGCTGGCACTGTACTGCTTGCGAACAAACGTGGACATCTCATCTTCCTGACCCGCCTGGTAGGGACCCATAACTCCGTCATCAATCAAATCTTTACCCTTCAGGCCCATACGTAAATTTAGGTCAGCAAATATTATTGGAATAACTCTCGCGGGGGTACTGTCGACCTGCTCTTTGATCCACTGCGTGGGTTGCTTCACGGTAGTCCTCCAGCGTGGTAGCCTTCTGGCCGTACTAACCCGCGGCGGATAATAACCAACCACGAGTCGAAATCGCTGAGGGCCACGCTGGATATCCACGCTACCTGCTCGTCCCTGCAGGTGAGGGGGGGGGGGGGGGGGGGGGGGGGGGCAGCAATGCGAATAATGTGACGAGCCTGGTATTGTCTAGCCAATATACCAATAGTGACGCCCGCCGATGCATTGGTAGAAGAGCCCCGCCCCCAGCCCCAGTGTATCCAGTGGTGTTCAGGGGTGCGCTCATAGTGATGGGCTTGATGTACACGCATGGGCATCTTGGTGCCCGCCAACAGGACCGCCGTGCAACGTGCGCATTCCATACCAATATGTTCCAACCGTCCAGTGCGCATAATCGTGTACGGATTCCATCCTACGAACGATGCTCTCGAAAGCCACGCTGACGACCCCGTGAACCTTCCCTCTGGGCTGCTGCTGCTGCTGCTGCTGCTACTCCCTCCGCCTCCTGCCCCGCTGGCGGCCGCTGCCCCGCCGCCCTCGCGGTGCGCGGCGCCGCCGCCGGCAGCGCGGCGGGCGGGTTTGTTCCCCCTCGCGGCCTGGCGGCGCGCAGAGGGGGGAGGCCATGCGAGGCAAAGGCCGCAGGGATCCGCGGGCCTGAGCCGTCCGTGGCCTTTGGTGGTGAGGAGGATGAGGAGGAGGAGGAGGAGGAGACAATGGCGACGAGGGAGCCCCAAGGGCGACCCAAGGAAAACCCCGACTGAAAGAACAGCAGATCGAGGATTCCCTCCTCCTCCTCTTTCCTCTCATCCAACTCCTCCTCCTCCTCCTCGCTTCCTCCTCCTCCTCCTCCTCCTCCGCCTCCTCCTCCTCCTCGAGCGTAGCCGAACCTCCTCTTTCTCCTCCTCCTCCTCCTCCTCCTCCTTCTCCGCCTCCTTCTCCTCCTCCCCTTTCTCCTGCTCCTCCTACTTCTCCTCCTTCTCCTCCTCCTCCTCCTCTTCCTCCTCCTCCTCCTCCTCCTCCTTTTCCTGCTCCTCCTCCTCCTCCTTCTCCTCCTCCTCCTCCTCCTCCTACTTTTCCTTGGGGCGCCCCCGAAGGGGGCGCGCGCGCGCGCGCGGGGGTGCGGCGCGGGCCGCAGCGACGGCACATCCCCCGCCTGGCCGCAGCAGCAGCAACTCCAGCGCTTGCGGGTGGGCGGAGCGGGCCGCGAACATGAGTGCGGTCATGCCTCGGGCGCCCGCGCCCCCCGACCAAACAGGGCGAGGAGGAGGAGGAGGAGGAGGAGACTACGAAACACACCCAAAACCTCCAGGGACGAGGACGAAGAGTGAGGAAGAGGATGAGGAGGAGGAGGAGGAGGAGGAGGAGGCGGAGGAGGAGGGTGAGTGAGGCTGAAGGCCCCCGGGAACCCACGAAGACGCCCGAAAAAGCCTCGCACCCAGGGCCGCCGGCGCCGCCGCCGGCGCCACCGCCGCCGCCCTCGTCGCCGTCCTCGGCGCCCTCCCCAGCGCGGCCGCCGCGGCCGCCGCGGACGCCGTCGCCGCCGCCCTCGACGGCGCGGCCGCCGCCGCGGCCCGCGCGCAGGAGCCGGCCAAGAGCGGCAGCCGGGGGCGCGGCGCGCCTCCGAAGCAGGGGGCGGCGTCGGCGTCCGCGCCGGCGCGCAGGAGCCGCTCCACCTGCGGAGGGGGGGGGGAGCGGCAGGTCGGGAGTCGCCCGGAGGTCGGCACGGTGGCCCTCGAGGGCGAGGCCGCGTGCTGCGCGCGGCGCGGCAGGTTGCAGGCAGGGCGCTGCTGGGCCACTGCCACTCCGAGCCGACTCGCGGAGCACGCCGGAGGCCCGGGAGAGCCCCTGAGCACACCGTGGCACTGCCACGCCAAGACGGCCAGGCCACTGCCACTCCAGGGCTTGCCGTCGCTCGGACGTCCATTTCCCGTGCATGTTTCGGTTTCGTGCGTGTTTTTTTTTTGCTCGATGGTCCAGGATGGTCCTCGATGGTGCTCGCCGAGAAAAATGCACACGTCCGAGCGATGTCAGGAGGGCGGCCCCTGAGCACGCTGGAGGCTGTGCGGGGCCCGTGCGGCGACAGCTGGACAGCACCCATGAGGCAAAAGGAGGTTGGGCCCATGGGAGCATCCGGAGACTCAGGCGGGGCGGGGCCAGGCTCGGTCGATGGGTCAGCACCACTCACGCAAGGAATCGAGGAGGCGGGAAGAAGGGAGGGAGGAGCATCAGGCGGCCTTCTCAGCGGGAGACACAGGACGACAGGAGTGGGGGGACTGGGCCACGGGGGGAACATCCACTTGAGCGACGAAAAGAAACGGGCCTCACGCGAGAAGACATAGAGAGACCTGAAGCCGCGGCTTGCGCGGGCCGCCAAGCGCGGCACACCCCGTGGAGAGGGGTGGGCACACCCCGTGGAGAGGAGGGCGCGCGTGACCCGAGTCCGGGCACTCACGCGGGAGCGGCCGCGCAGTCGATCCCCTTTTTCATTCCGTCGCTCCACGTGCCATGGCTCGGAAGTCCATGCCCCGTGCACGGTTCGCTTTCGTGCGTTGCTCTGTTCGCATTGGAGGCAGGCTGCTCCTTCGAGGGCGCCGGCCCTACAGCTATTAAGCCAGGCCCGAGCCTTCTGAGGAGCAGGGTGCTTCTGAGAAGCCTTCTCCTGTCTCCGTACCCCCCCCCCTGCGCGAGGTCGACAGATCGAAGGGACATCGAGCCAGATTAAGCCCGGGACTCAGCCCAGGATTAATTGAGCCGGATTGAACGGAGGAGGGAGGAGGGCGGAGGGTTGAGGGCGGAGGGCGGGGGGCGGGGGGCGGAGGGAGGAGGGAGGAGGGAGGGAGGAGGGAGGGAGGGAGGGAGGGAGGAGGGAGGGAGGAGGGGGAGGGAGGGAGGAGGGAGGAGGGAGGGAGGGAGGGAGGAGGGAGGGAGGAGGGAGGAGGGAGGGAGGAGGGAGGAGGGAGGAGGGAGAGGAGGAGGGAGGAGGGAGGAGGGAGGGAGGAGGGAGGAGGGATGAGCGGGACCGAGCGGGATCAGGCTGGCTTGGGCGGGCCTTCGGCCGCGGATGTGCCAGCGCCGACGCAGCGCCGACGCTGGAACTGAATCTCCCAGGAATTGCACCCTAAGATTAGGTCGGGCACGTCCTCCTACAGGGGGATGGGCGACGAATACAAAATAGTAATACACAAATTTCAAACATAGTCAAAACATCGTCCCACAACTCTCGTTCCTCCTTTCGAACCTGACGTGACTTGACCCTAAGATGGGGGAGCAGACCCCCTCGCGCCGTGCCAGATGTGCGGGATCAGTCGGCATCGGATCGGGAGATCGGGAACGGATCGGGAGGGGCGATCGCGGCTTCCCGACAGCGCGGATCCTGGTCTTCACTCCGCTCGTGGGACGCCCCCGCAAGGCACGCGCGCGGGGGTGAGGGGCAACGGAAGGGGGAAAGACGCCTCAGAGGGGAACCATCGCCTTGCAATCGGTGACACATCGCCGACGTATCGGCGACAGGCCCCAGAGCAACGAATCCGCCTGCTCCTGGGCGGGGCGGGGCCATCGGGGCCCCATGGGCGATGAGCGGGCGATTGGGGGTCGATGCACCCCACCCCTGCGCCTGTTCCCCCCCCCATAGTCCTCGTCCTCGATCTTCCTGTCGGGGACGCTCTGACCCGGGTCAACGCAAACCAGGGTCAGTCAGGCGTTGCAGGATCCTCCAAGATTCTGCAGGATCCTGCACCCAAACCCGGGTCAGTGCACCCCTGGCTCTGCAGGACCCTGCAAGATCCGGCGCTCTGGCTGACCCCCGTTTGCTTTGACACCCGCCTCCTGAGCCTCGCTTCCTGGCCACAGCGCGGGTCTCCAGCGGCCGCTCGGGACGATCCCGCAGCGCCCTTAAGTCGGACCTGTCCATCTACAGGGGGAATATTCAAAAATTGTAAAAAAGTAGTCTGGGAACGATTCGTTGTGTATTTGTTTTAACCATTTGGGGGGTATTTTTGGAATATTTTAAATTTCTCGTCCAAAATCCGCCTGTAGGGGGACATGCCCGACATAACAGCACCCCTTCAGCGTTCTCGAGAGGAGGCACAGCTGCTGGAAACGCCGCCCTGGCGCTCGAAGACCCCCGCGGGACTCGCTGCGCCCCACCCCCGAGCCCGTCCCCCCCTGGCGCCGGCCACACGCACGAGTGACCCTGGGCAAGAGTGGCCTCTTGGTGCGCGGCTTCACGCGGGACGCGGGGTGACCAGATCCAGGTGCGCACGCCGCCGCTACCGCTTCGCGCTCAGGGATAAGTGACGGGGCCCCAGGACACACAAATAAAACGATCCCCTATGTTTTCCCATATATTCTGGGTTTTCGTCTCCCCCCCCACTTCCCATATTTTCCCACATTTTCCGAGGGATCGCCGATGAATTGTGTCTGTGTGTTTTTTCCCCTCCTGAATAAGGGGATCCCACTTGGGCCCGCACTGGAAAGGACACTCCGGCGGAAGGCCACTCTTCTATGTCCAGTCGCTGGCGCTGCCCGGGGATCTTCTGACCCGGGTCAATCCAGACCCGGGTCAGCCAGGCCTTGTAGGATCCTGCAGGATCCTGCAAGATCCCGCGCCCAAACCCGGGCCAATGCGAAGGATCCTGCAGGATCCTGCAAGATCCAGCGCCCAAACCCGGGCCAATGCGACCCTGGACCTGCCGGATCCTGCAAGGTCGGGGCGCTCTGGCTGACCCCCGTTTGTATCGACCCCCGTCTCAAGGCTCCCGAGCTGCCCTCGACGCGCGCACGCCGGCGACGCCTCAGCGGCGGCGGGACGGAGCACACAAGGCCCCACACCGAGCGGCAGCGCCAACGCACCGCCGGCGCGGCGCCATCCGGCGATCCCGACCCCAGATTTGCGACGTCCTTCTTTTTTCAATACAGTCAAAACGTTTATTAAGGACGGGTGGTAAGGACGCAAGACCCTTGGAGGCCGAAGTTGGATTTTTGGGGCGGGGGGCGGCCAGTGAAAACGGCGAAGAACGGGCCGCAGAGGCAAGGACTCAAGGGTACCCTAGATGAAGGCACGCGTCCTTACTAGGCGCGTTGACTGTACGGGATCCCTGGAACTCCCGACCCCTTTCCCTGGACCGGCTCCTGAGTCGTTTCGTTGACGGTCCAGAGGCCCGGCGAGGGCCGCCCGAGGCCGAAGTTTGCCAAAAGCTCCCTGTCCGGATGTTTCACGACGCGATCATGTCTCGGGCCGGGCGAAATGGGGGGATAGCACAGGGGGGGATGAGAATCACCTCACACAGCTGATTTTCTGGGCGCCTCTGGGCGCCGGGAGGCCCCCATGCATCGAGGAATTGGCCCTGCGGCGTGGCCGAAACCAGTTGCATGCAGCAGATTTCGTAACCCCCCCTTTCCCTATCCCCGCCTTTCGTTCCACCCGAGATTAGATTTAAGTCGGGCCTGTCCCCCTACAGACCGATTTGGGACGACAAGTGAAAAAATACCCCAAAAGATACCCGAGAGAAGTTCACACATGCTCAAAACATAGTCCCACGACTGTTTTTTGTAATTTTTGGATTAAGAAACAATCGGCCCGAATGTCTGGGACGCCCTCTCGGCTCTGACCTGGGAGGCGCCAGCTGGGTAGTCGAAGCCAATCTGGCAGGCCCAATCTGGCAGGCCCAATCTGGCAAACGGGGGCAATCTGACGAGGGAGCCAACGCGAATCCAGTTTGGCCAGGCCAGATTGGCCCTTGGGGCCCAATCCAATCTGACAGTCTGGCCTTCGACTGCCCAGTCGGGGGCGCCCTCCCGGCTCTGACCCGGGAGGCGCCGGAGAGAAAAGCGAGCGGCAACACGGCGCGCGCAGGGGGCTCTTGGCGGGGGCCGGCACGGCATGCCCCCCGCACCGGCCGCGGGGGCCCGTCCCTGCGCCCCCCTGGCGATGGTCCCCGGGTCATGGCGGAGGCGTGGGGAAGGGAGCCGAAGCTACTCTGCCACTGGACGCTGAAGGCGGGTGAGCTTCATGTTGCTCCCATCGTCCTCAAGGATTCCATCGCAGAAATAGTTTCGACCGCCCGGACGAGTGTCGAAACAGCGTGTGCCAGACACGCTTGCACGAAGTGTCGAACGAGCATCGCCTCCAGGGCCCGACGCGTGAGAACCCTCCCCTTCCGGTACCTTTTTGGTGCTCAAAACTCTTTCTGGCGATCACGGCTAGAGGAGGAGAAGGAAGAGGAGGCGGAGGAGGAGGAGGAAGAGGAGCAGGAGGGGGAGGGGCAGGCGGAGGAGGAGGCGGAGGAAGAGGAGGAGGAGGAGGCGGAGGAGGAGGAGGAGGAGGAGGTCGAGCCCGAGGTTGGAACATCACAGGGCGAGCTGTGGGCGGCCCGCCGCGCACGCGTCCCCGCGCCCGGCCGCGAGGCACAGCGCCAGGGCCTCGGGGCCGCGGCCGCCAGGCGCGAGGTCTGACGCCTCGCCTGCGGGCTGCGCGGCACGGCCGCGCTCCGCCGCCGATGGGCGCCGCCGTCGCGGGCGCCGTCGTCGCGGGCGGCCTGCGCCGTCGCCGTCGTGAGCGTCGTCGTCGTCGTCGTCGTCGTCGACGGCGACTTCGCCGTCGTCATCGTCGACTGCGCCGTCGCCGTCGTGAGCGTCGTCGTCGTCGTCGTCGACGAAACCGTCGCCGTCGCCGTCGACGGCGCCGTCTTTGACATGAGCGTCGTCGTCGTCGTCTTCGTCGTCGTCGTCGTCTTCGTCATCGTCGTCGTCGTCTTGCCTCGCCTGTGGGTCGCGGCCGCGGCCGCGCTCCGCCGCCGTGGGCGTCGTCGTCGCGGTCGCCATCTACAAAGATCCAGCGCACCCTGAGATCGACGTCGTCGCCGTCGTGGTCGTGGTCGTCGTGGTCGTGGTCGTCGTGGTCGTCGGCGGCGACATCGTCGCTTGGGCGCGAGGCGTCGGGGCGACGACAGCACTGCTGGCGGAGTGCTGTGCACGTCCACGGACCCTGGGAGCCGATGCCCCAGGGCCCCAGGAGGCGGTGGACATGCGGGAAGGCCCGCCAGTGTGAGAGCACCAAACATTCACAGATCCTCAAGGCTGACTTGCGCTGACAAGCTTGAGAATCGGGGAAGAAAAAACAGCACAGTGATCGTTTTCTGATTCGGTGTTTCGGCGTGGGGCGGAAAGGGGGGGCAAAGGGGGGGGGTCTGGCTCCGGGCCTCTGCTTAATGCGACTGACTGCTTGCAACAGTGTGTCCTATAGGGGGAAGTCTCCACCTGCTCGAAACAGGCGCCAGAACCAGCTACTAGAGGTTCCGTGCGGGGCGGGGGGGGAGGGCCCGCGCCGATCGGCAAAACCATGAATGAGAAAACGCACGCAGACGCAAACTTTCGGAGGTCCGCGCGGACTCCTTGGGTCGGCGCTGGACCCCGCCCCTCCCTGGAGTGCGGAGCGCGCGCGCCAGGAGGGAGGCGCCGTCAGATGGGTCCAGCGCGGATCCAAGAACTCCGCGCGACAGTCCAACTTTCGAACGATGACTGATCGATTATGTGTCCTTCGATGCCGCCGACGACGACAACGACAACGACGATGACAATGACGATGCATTAGGAGGAAAACATCGTCCTCGTCGTCGTCGTCGCCGTCGAGAGAGAGAGAGAGAACAAAACACACAAACAAACATACAGTACTGATACATCCTCGGGTCTGGTTCCCGCTGGAGACCCCAGCATGCAAGAGCACTCGGACATGGATACCAGGCGGTCGGAAAAGAGTGGGCATGAGGATGAAAATAGGAAGGCGATGAAGGAAGTGGCCATCCGTCACTCCCCCGAAGACGAAGGAAGAGGCAGACCCACTCGACTGATGACATCGGAAGGCGCCTGACGTAGATTGGAATGTGCGACTCCAACAATATATATATATATATATATATATATATGTGTCAACAACTAGTGGAACGAAGAATGACATAAACATAAAAACTCGGAGGTCCGCGCGGACTTCTCGGATCCGCGCTGGACCCCCCTGGCAGCGCCTCCGGTGCCGCACCTGGCGCGCTCCGCGCGCCGGGGAGGGGCTCCAGCGCGGATCCAAGAAATCCGCGCGGACCTCCGAGTTTGTATGTTTATGCAATTTTCCGTTCCCCTAAAAACAGACATGTCTCTGGGCCCCGTGAGCCCCGAAATTGTCCATGTCTGCTGCCTTCTGGGGTCCTGGGACATCCGCCCCCAAGGCGGTGGATATGAATAAAAAGCCCTGGCTCCGGAGACGTCGCGGTCGTCGTGGTCGTCGTCAGCAATCCGCCGACTCGCGCTCGTGGGCATCCGTGGAAGCGTCGCATCGGGGGACGGGTCGGACGGTGATGAGAAGGTGGGGAAGGTGTAATGAATGAATGGATTTCAGCTGAGGTGGCCCAGCACTGGCCCTGGCCAGCCGCAGGCCATCGCTCGGACGTCCATTCCCTGTGATTTTTTGTTCGGTTTCGTGCGTGGCTTTTTCGCCAAATGATCGAGGATGCTCCTCGATGGTCCTCGCCGAAGGAAAACTGCACACGTCCGAGCGATGCCAAGCGGTGGAAGCGCCGCATCGGGGGACGGGTCGGACGGTGATGAGAAGGTGGGGAAGGTGCGATGAACGAGTGGATTCGGAGCCGGCTGGGCGGCCGAGGTGGCCCAGCACTGGCCCCGGCCAGCCGAGAGGGGGGAGAGAGAGAGAGGCCCCCACGTCGCCACGGCTGCACGCGGCTCGAGAGGCCTGTCGGCTTCGACCCCCGGGGAAGGGGCCAGGGAGCGACTTCGAGCAGATATGTGCCCTCCTCCCCCGCCCTTGTGAAGGGGCCCTGGGACACACAAATAAATACGCACAAATAAAGAGATGCCCCATATTTTCTCATATGTTCTGGGTTTGTGCCTCCCCCCCCAATTCCCATATTTTCCCATGTTCCCTGGGGAATCGAGGATTAATTGTGTCTGCGTGTTTTTTCCCCTCCTGACCTTGACAGATTCTCTCGGGGCCCACCCAGCACAGGACCCCCTGGCCGCCTCCGAGAGGATACGCTTCGAGATACGGCCGCGCGGCAGGCAGCACCGCGACGCGGAGTGCATCGGCCAGCGATCGCAGGGGTGTTTGTCGGCATCCACGGCAGCACATCGTCACGCGCAAAATCTCGCTGCCGTACTCGGCGTCACACTGTCGTCAATCACCTGCACCACCGCCACTGCAACTACGGCAACAAAGCACGGGCGCGTGCCACTATCCATAAGCAGAAAGTCCCGATCCCAGTGCCGGACTCATCCGCGCCCACTCGTGGACTGGACCCGTGGACTCCCAGCACTCCACTCCTCTCCCTTCCCCTCCAGCCTCCCAGAGGAAGACACCAGAATCAATGAGGGCACCGCATCGACGACACATCGGCGACGGCCAGATATAGGAAACCCAGGCTCGGGATCGCGCCGCACGTCGATTTACATCAGCGACGCAGCGCGATCTTCCAGTCCCATCTGATGCTCCAGACGGCCCAAAACAAGCCCCCTGTCCACTGGGAGGGGCTTGACATATCCGTGACGCTGGGAACTGTGTGGGCGTGTCCTCAGGGTCTTTGCCTACGTAGTAATCCCTTAATTAGGGGGAAACAAACCTACCTCGCTTTTGACCACCCTCGCTTCCAAGAGATACCAAACGATGCCAAACTACGGCCTGTACTGGTCAGGCCGCTTGACGAGGAGGCGCGTGGTATGACCAGGTTTTGCCTGGAAGCGAAAGCGGGGCAGGCAGTTCGCGCTCGGACCTAAGCACTCCTGACGTGTCTTTCGGGGGCCCGGAGCCTGAATCTGTCAACTCTTCTGGGGCTTCCCGCGTGCCCACCGTGGCGTCTCGCGTCCTGCCGCGTGACCTGGTGGGCCCGAGAGGGGCCCCAAGACGGGCCAAGAGGGCCCCAAGAGGCCCCCTAAGAGGGTCCTAGATATCCCCGAGCTGCCGAACGATCGCACCAGGACGCCCAAGATGGTCCTAGGCCGGCCCAACAGGCCTCCAAGACGCCCCAAGGGAGCCCCGAGAGCCTTCCCAAGAGGGCTCCGAGAGGCCAAAATCATGGGTTGCCCATCGGCTTTTCAACGATCTTGAGGTCCTCGACTTTTCGAGCTCCCGACACTCCAAGACGGCCCGAAAGGCCCCCACGGCCACACAGGCCCCCAGGAAGGCCGCAACACGGCCCAAGATTGCTCCAAGATGGCACCAGAGGCGTCCAAGACGACCCGAAAGGGCCCAAAAGGGGCTCCACTGCACTGCTTAGGAGGCAACTACAGGGAGGTTTCCGTCGGAAAGATTAAAGAGGATTGAGCCCCATTTAGGAGCTGTTACGCCTGAGTGGGCCTCGGATTAAGCGGGACCTAGCCGGATCAAGCGGGATTAAGCGGATTAAGCTGGATTAAGCCAGACTTCGGACCTCCCAGGAGTTGCATCCCAATCCCCCGCAGGCCGGGACGCAGCGATGGGGGGCGCGCTGCCGCAGGCCGCCAGCGCCGCCAGCACCGCCTCGTCGCTCGCCTGCGAGCGGGGCGCCGTGGCGCTCCCGCGCGCGATCCCCGGCTGACCAAGCCACGACCGGGCCGGGGGGGGGCCTGTGCCTCTCGAGCATGACGAAGCCAGGACGGGGCTGAAATCGGGCGAGGGTACAGGCGACCCGTATGATAAGGATGCGCGGCAAGGATGCAAGGCCCATGTCGACACTTTTCGAGCGGGGCTGGCCAGCGAAAGCTGCCAGGGATGGGCCGAAGGGGCAAGGGTGCAAGGGTGACCTTGGGAAGGTTGCTCATCCTTACTACGCGGGTTGACTGTACCTCGAGAATCTCTGGAGATCCCGCGACAGATGGGGTAACTCCAGGGCGTTCCGAAACGATCCGAGAGCATTACGGAACGCTCTGGCACGGTCCTCGTCCTAGCCCCGTCCGGTCGATCGTCCCTAGCACGCGTGTGAGCGCCAGCGCGTGCTCGTCCACCGAAGCCCGTCAGTACTGTGCAGGCGGCACGGCGAGGGTCGAGACGGGCTGCGCGCTCGCTCGGCGGAGCTGAAGTGGACAAGCACACGCCTCAGCTACTTCGGGGATGGACAGACCCCCCTTTAGTAAAACGTGGTTTAGTGAAAGCGACCTGAGGCCCAAACCTGGCGGGCGCAAGCCTGGAAAATAACGGCCACGGCGCCCTCTCGAGAACCGAAAACAGACAATTCACTAATCGACGTGTCACTGTTGGGGGTTCTGTCCGCTCCCGACTACTGCACCTCCTGAAGATCATTGATCCTTACCCCCCTGGGGGAGAGAAAGAAGATTCGTGAGGCACCAACAAGAACTTCAGACTCCGCAGTCGGCCAGTCGGCCAGTCGGCCAGTCGGCCAGTCAGCCGGTCAGAGTCGGCCAGACATGGGAGGGGGGTGCGGATAGATAATCCCAGTGCCCCAAACAGAACTTCCAAATGCCCAAGGGGACCCCGTCGTATCGGCGATCTATCGAGAAGGGTTTCGAACCCGATGGGTCCCTCAGGGGTGCATGGACCACAGCTCCCCTAAGGATGGTTGGTCTGTTCCGCTCCCACCGACATCCGGATGCTCGTTGAAGGGGCGTCGCTGTATAAACGCGCCATGAAGATTATGTTCGAAACGCTGGACCTGTCCCTAAATCCGCTACCGTGCCATCTGGCACGTTGAGGCGCGGTAGAATGCCCAGGTCTGTCTGGCAGGTTTCTAAAACTTCAAAGAATAAGGGGCGGCCCCTCTCTCTACCAGCAGACTCTTTCTTGCATCCCCCTTACTCATCGAAGCCGCTTCCCTCGTGCACTTCCCGCATGGCAGATCATGCCGAAACCCCCATGCCGCATGTGCCCGCTCGAGAATGGTGCACTCCCAGCATGGGAACGAATGCCCGAATCCCATTCGACACATGCCCGCTCGAGGATGGTGCCCTTTCCGCATGGCAGCGTACGCGTGAACCTTCATTTCGTGCGCGCCCACTCGAGGATTGAGCACTTCCCGCACGGCTGCTAAACTCCGAGACACCTCATCCCACGCGCATCCGCTCGAGGATCGTGCACGGCGCTGCTCCCAAGCAACGATCACTCGTCAAAAACTATGGACATGTGTCCTTAGCTTCCGAGACGCCCCGTGCAGGCAACCAAGGACACCAAGATGGCCCAAGATGCCTCGAAGACTGCCCAAGATGACACCAAGTGGCAGAGCATGTATTCCAAACGGCCCGAGATGCTTCCAAGAGGGCCCAGAACGGCCACAAGAGGCCCTCCAACAAGATCGGAAACCTTGGGTTGTTTGAACGATATTTGCATTATCGCTTTTCGGGCGACCGTCAAATTAAGCCGGCCCAAGAGGACTCCACGATGGCCCAAGGGGCATCCAGGACGGCCCCAAGACGGCCCAAGAGGACCTCCCGTAGGACCAAAGACAGCCTTAGAAGGCCTCTCGACGGCCCACGACGGCGCTAGGACGTTCCCACGACGCCCCCAGACACCCACCATACGGCCAAGAGGGCCCCGAGACGGCCCAAGAACACCCCGAAGACCAAGACTGCCCAAACGAGTTCCATCATCTTCGTCACCTTAATATTCAGATTCACCATCATCAGCATCATCATCAGCATCACAATCATCACCATCATCAGCATCATCATCACGAGCATCCTCCTCATCAGTATCAGTATCAGTATCAGTATCAGTATCAGTATCAGTATCAGTATCAGTATCAGTATCATCATCATCATCATCATCATCATCATCATCATCATCAGCATCAACATCATCGTCATCATCATCGGCAGCATCAACATCGGCATCAGCATCATCGTCGTCATCAGCATCATCAGCAGCATCATCATAATCATATTCACCATCATCAACACATTAATGATCATCATCATCACCTTCATAAGCATCATTATAATCGTCATCGTCATCGCCTTCGTCATCGTCATCGTTATCGTTATCGTCGTCGTCGTCGCCACCGTCGCCGTCGCCGTTGCCGTTGCCGTCTCCATCGTAGCCGACGTGGCCGTCACCGTTGCCGTGGCCGTGGCCGTCGCCGTGGCCGTCGCCGCCGTGGCCGTGGCCGTGGCCGTGGCCGTGGCCGTCGCCATCGCCGTCGCCGTCGCCGTCGCCGTTGCCGTCGCCGTAGCCGTAGCCGTCGTCGTCGTTGTCGTCGTCGTCGATGTCATCATCATCGTCGTCATCATCATCACCATCATGATCATCATCATCACCAGCATTATCACCATCATCATAATCACCACCACCACCATCACCACCACCATCAACATTATCAGCACGAGCATCAACATCAGCATCAGCGTCAGCGTCAGTATCAGCATCACCAACGTCATCATCACCACCACCATCATCATCATCATCGTTACATTCGTCGTCGTCATCATGACGAATGTGATCGTAATAGCTATCGCCATCGTCATTGTCGTCGCCGTCACCGTCGTTGTCATCGTCATCGTCATCGTCAACGCCGTCGCCATCGTCATCGCCATCGTCATTGTCATCATCAGCACCACCAGCATTATCACCATCACCATCGAAATCGCATCCACCATCACAATCACCATCACCACCCTCATCATCCTCAGCATCATCACTAATATAATCATCATCGTCATCATTGGCACCGTCGCCATCATATTCATCATCAACGACATCATCACCAACGTCGCGATCAACATCGCCATTACCCTTACAATCGTGACCAGCATCGTCATCATCATCACCACCGCCACCATCATCTTCAACCCCACCATCAGCATTATCATTATCCTCGCAATCATGAGCAACAGCAGCACCAACCATATGACCTTGATCATTAACATACTCATCGTCGTAAAACTTAGCATTATCGTCGTCAGCAGCATCAGCAGCAGCAACATCATCACCATCAGCATCAGCATCATCATCACCATCATCACCATCATCATACTCATCACCATCACCATCACCGTCTCCGTCACCATCATCAGCATCATCATCATCACCATCATCATCACCAGCATTATCACCATCATCATAATCACCACCACCATCACCACCACCACCTTCACCACCACCATCATCGTAATTGGGGCCTCGGTCGTGTCGGGCTGGCTGTGATGATGATGATGATGATGATGATGATGATGATGATGATGATGGCGTTGATGATGATGATTATGATTATGATTATGATGATGATTGTGATGGTGATGGTGATGATGATGCTGCTGATGATGATCTGATGATGATGATGATGATGATGATGATGATGAGGAGGATGAGGATGAGGATGAGGATGAGGATGATGACGATGATAATGATGATGATGATGATGATGATGATGATGATGATGATGATGATGATGATGATGATGATGATGATGATGGTGATGGTGATGATGATGATGATGATGATGATGATGATGATGATGATGATGATGATGATGATCATCATAATGATGGTGACGGTGACGGTGATGGTGATAATGATGATGGACGACCCCACGGGGTACCCGCGCCTGGCCCGGGAACGCGCCCCGAGCCTGCCCGGGGCCTCGGCGGACCCCGGCCAGCTCGGGAAGGCCCAGCTCCGCTCGGGGACCCGCTCGGGAGGAGCTCGGCTCGGGTCGGGGACCAGCTCTCTGAGCAGGGGCCGACCGTCCCGGCATTCCTGTAGGCCTGCCACGAGATGTTCCTAGGACCCAAGAGTGTTCTAAGAACACAAGCAGTGTTCCTAGAACAGAAGCCCCGTGTGACAAAACAAGACAGGCTCCGCCTGAAATGGTCTGAGAACAGTCCGTGGAGGCCACAAAAGGCTCTTAGAACATTGCTTGGTAGGGCTATAGGCGAGCCAGGACGCTTCGCCACTGCTTGAGACCAGCTCGCAGGTCGGGGGCCAGCTCAAGACGGGCATGCCCCCCTACAGGCGGATTTTGGACGCAAAGTTAAACATAGTCAGGAAGAAATGCACCAACATGGTCTAACATGGCGACAAGATGGTCCCCAGCCTATTCTTTGGACTACTTCTGAAGATTCCGCCTGTAGAGGGACAGGCCCGACGTAGGACCAGCTCTCGGGCCGAGGGCCAGCTCGGGTCGGGGACCGCCCGCGCCCGCCTCGGCGGGCCCCGGCCCCCGGCCTCGCTCGGCGAGGCCCGGCCGCTCGGGGACCCTGCTCGGGAGGAGCTCCGCTGGGGTCGGGAGCGGCCAAGAGGGGGGTGTCCAAGAGGGGGGGTGCAAATCATGACCGGCGGCATGTGCGCGGCCCAGCGGGGGGGCCAGGAACGTAATGAAATAAGAAGAGGCGCCATGAAATCTGGGGAAATATCATGGCCCACGCCAGATATCCACCCTCCCACAGTCATCACCCCCCTCTTTTCCGCCCCCGATCGGGGGGAGACCAACTCTCGGGCCCGGGACCATCTCGCAGGTCGGGGACCACCCGCCAGCGATCCATCGGGGGCGCGCACTGCTTGCCGTCGCTCGGGCGTCCATTACCCGCGCGTGCTTCGGTGCCGTGCGTGTTCTTGTTGCTCGATGGTCCAGGATGATCCTCCGGGGTCCTCGCCGAGAAAAAAATGAACACACGTCCGAGCGATGCCAGGGCAAGCATGGATTCGCGATGCATGGACTTGTCGCGCGGTCGCCTATATCCATGGATCGGGGGAGCCGCCCTCCCCAGAAGGCGGCCGCTGCCGCCTCGCTCGGCGGCGGACATCCGCGACTTCTCCTGGAAGGGGGACCCGTCGCTCATCCACGCCCCCGTTGATCCACGTGTGCCATCGCCCGAACCAAGGAGCGATCAGGGGTCGACGCCTCCCCCCGGAGCTGGGGTGGCCCCCCGAGTCCTCGGCCTGCAGCGCCCTGGCCTCCGCGGGGGGGCCCGCTCGTCCCCTCGCTGTTGGGAGCCTCCCCGCTCGCTTCGATGTCCCGCCCGCCCGGCCCGCCGAGCGGGGCCCGCGCGCCCGACGCGCCTGTCGGGGCTGGTCCATCGGACCCGGCCGTCAGGGCCCCCGCTTCAGAATCACAGCTCCTGTCTCCTCCCCCTCCTGCTGCCTGGTCTGCTTCGCCCCCCGTCCTGCCCCCCCCCCTCTTGCCTCACTCCTCTTACGCTCATGTCGGGCGTGTCCCCCTACAAAGGGATTTTCTACGAACAGTGGAAAATACACAAAAAAATACCCCAAGAAGGCCAAACAATAGTAGAAAAACAAATCCCCAGACTGTGTTTGGAGTATTTCTTAACTAGTTTTGGGGTACTTTTTTATTTGTCGTCGAAAATCCCCCTGTAGAGGGGACAGGCCCGACATAATCTTACTCCTGCTCCTCCGCTCTCTCGCGGCCGGGCGGCCTCGCGCGAGAGGTCCACGAGGGCGTCCGCGCGCAGGGCCGCGGCAGCGGCGCGCGCACCCGGGCCGTCCTCCGAGGGGGCCGGGCAGCTCCCCGAGGGGCGGGGGCCAGCTCGGGGGGGGGGGGGGGCGAGGGGGGGAAGCCCTTGGGGCGCCAGGCTCTGGGGGGGGGGAGGCGAGGCCCTGAGGGGGGGGGAGGGAGGGGGCTCGAGGGGGGGGGGGAGGGGGCCAGCTCCGGGGCGAGGGGGGGCCAATTCTAGCTCCCCGAGGGGCCGGGGCCAGCTCCGGGAGGGGGGGGCGAGCTCCGGAGAGGGGGGGAGGGAGGCAGGAGCAGTGGAGGACTCAAGCTTGAGACGAAGCCAGGTTGAGGACAAATTCGGATCAGGATACATCGAGTCTCTGAGACCCGGCGGCACTGGAGGATGTCTCGGGCGCCGCGGCCTCCTCAGAGTGTTCCGGAACGCTCTGAGAGCGTTCCAGAACGCTCTGGAACGGACCTGTCCTGGACCTGGCCCCGCCCGAAAGCGGGACTTCCTGGGGCTTCCAGGGGCTGCCTGAAGCTCCCTGGGGCACACTGGAGAGTTCCCCGGGAGGCGCCAGGAGCTCCAGGAGCGCTGCCCCCCCACAGTGCGGATCCTGCGCTCCTGCGAGGGATCGTGAACGCGGGAGCGCGGATCCTATGTTTTTCAGCGTGGACTCCAAGCCTCGGCAAGGCGGATTCGACGGCAGGAGGAACGCAGGATTCCAGAGGAATTCCATGGAAGCAGTTGCGTTGCGGGCGAGACGGCGCCTGAGGACACTGGAATCAGAACTGAGCATCGTTTATCCGACCCCCATCCCCAGCGACGTGGCCTGGGCCACACTGGCCGATTTCCCCCCCCCCCCCCCCCCCTAGATGGGGATGAGGCCGTTCCCTTCGGGTTTCGAGGGGCGTCTCCCCCACTGGGGTGGTACAATTCGGTGGGGGGGCCTCGAAGGGGATGAGGAGGGGGATGAGGGTCGGTCAAACGACACCGAAGTGCGGGGCCCCTGCGGCAACTGCAGAGGGCAGCACCCGCCTGGCAAGAGAAGGCTGGACCCCCGTGGGAGCCTCCCGAGGTCGAGGCGGGGCGGGGCCAGAGCTCGACGGGCAGGCAACACGCACGTCAGGGAGAATCGGGGAGGAAAGGGAGGAAAGGGAGGGAGGGAGGAGCGCTGTGGGGGAGGAAAGGGAGGAAAGGGAGGAGGAAAGGGAGGAAAGGGAGGGAAGGGAGGAAAGGGAGGAAAGGGAGGGAGGGAAAGGGGAGGAAAGGGAGGAAAGGGAGGAAAGGGAGGAAAGGGAGGAAAGGGAGAATCGGGGAGGAAAGGGAGGAAAGGGAGGGGGGGAGGAGCGCTGTGGGGGAGGCTCCAGCTGCTCGTAGCAGGCGCCCCAAAAACAACCCAGCAATGACTCCATAGGGGGGGGGGAGCAGGGAACCGAACTCCATACACACCGACGCTGAGGGAGGAGCGCTGTGGGGGAGGCTCCAGCTGCTCGTAGCAGGCGCCCCAAAAACAACCCAGCAATGACTCCATAGGGGGGGGGAGCAAGGAACCGAACTCCATACACCGACGCTGAGGGAGGAGCGCTGTGGGGGAGGCTCCAGCTGCTCGTAGCAGGCGCCCCAAAAACAGCCAACAATCACTCCATAGGGGGGGGGGAAAGGAACCGAACTCTATATACACCGACGGTTTGCCGGCCCTGCACTGACATTTGCACCAGAAATCAGATCCTGGTGTATACGGGATCTTGGTGTATACACTTTCTGTTTTTCCCTCGCGAAACGGAAACAACAAGTATACACCACACCACCCCGACGTCGGCCCCGACCCTCGAAAAATCCTTAGATGTATACGTTCCAGTTTCCGAAGCAGGGGGGGTGCGAGGGCCCGCGCCGATCGGCAAAACAATGAATAAAAAACTGAAGGGACCCTGGGACACACAAATAAGTAGACACAAATAACAGGATTCCCCATATCTTCCCATATCTTCTGGGTGTTCGTCTTCCCCCCCATTTCCCATGCTTTCCCTTATCTTCTGGGGCATCGACGATTCACTGTGTCTGTGTGTTTCCTCCCCTCCTGAGAAACAGCGACCACCAGGAGGCCCTCCCCGAGCGGTCCGCCACCGCGCGGCCCTGGACCGGCGCCGCCGGGCCCGAGAGACGCCCTCGGAGAGACAGCGCCCCGAGCCGCAGAGCCGTGCGGGGGTCCCGAGCCCCCACTCACCGGCTACGCGCACGCGTGGCCCTGGGTAAGAGTTCGATGCTCACTCTGGGGACCTTCCTGGAGCCACTCGCTCCACTCGTGCGTCGAAGCTGCGTCGAACCTGAGTCGAACCTGAGTCGAACATGAGTCGAACCTGAGTCGACTCTGAGTCGAACCTGAGTCGAACCTGAGTCGAACTTGAGTCGAACCTGAGTCGAAGAGATCCATTAGGTGGTCCCCAGGAAGGTCCCCAAAACGAGCATCGAATAAGAGTGGCCTTTGGTGCGCAGCTTTTGGGGGAGCGAGGGAGCCAAATCCAAGGGCGCGGGCCGCTTGCATCGCCTCGCGCTCGGGGGGAGCCTGATGAGCCCGCGCCAAGGGTCACTCCGGCGAAGGGACACTCTTACGTGCAGACGAACTCACAGGAGGCCTCCCTGATTTGCTGCAGGGACCGACCGTCCCGGCAGTCCTATAGTTAAGCCGGGCCTGTCCCCCAACGGGGGGATTTTCGACGAAAAATGCAAAATACCCTGAAAATAAAAAAAAAAAAAAAAAAAAAAAAAAATGCTCCAAACATAGTCTGGGGACTATTTTTTAAGTATGTGTTGACCTTTTTGGTGTATTTTGCGGGGTATGTTTTAATATTTCGTCGAACATGCCCCTGTAGAGGGGACACGCCCGACATAACCCTATAGTCCTACCACTAATTGTTCTTAGAACCCCAAAGATGTGTTGATGACAAGAACAGTGTCCTTTGAACATCAGCCCGGCGTGACAAAACAAGGCAGTCCTAACCAGAAATGTCCTAAGAACAGTTCGCGGGAACCACAAAAGGTTCTTAGAACATTGTTTGGTAGGACTATAGGCACACCAGGACGCTTCGCCACTGCTTGACTGATGGGGTCCGAGTACCGTCGGGCCGTTGACCGAGTGAAACGAGACCCCATTTTCCCACAAGTTACACTTCGACTTCCGATGGGAACATCAGGAGGGCCTGAGGCGAGCTGCGAGACAAGCAAGGAACACCGAGCAACCTCCCAAACGAAAATGGTTCCTTCTTCAGCGCCCCGACTGCAGATGGGGTCGGAGGTCGGAGGATCGCGCCGCATCGACGATGCATCGTGCATCGGCGATGCATCGGCGATGTCGGCGTGGAGAACACTGGGCTCCAAATCTAGCCGCGTTGCCCATGCATCGGCGATGCGGCGCGATCCTCCGACCTCAGCTGGCGGAGGCCGAGACTGGCCAACAACCTCTCGTCGTGATTTTTCCACGACGCGATCATGCCTAGGGACCAACTGGCCCAACGCACAACGTGGTCACCATGCTGTTTGGAGGCCCCGACCTGTCCTCCGACCCGACCTCGGGGAACTTCTGATCCGGGTCAATCCTGACCCGGGTCAGTCAGGCCTTGCAGAATCCTGCAAGATCCTGCAGGATCGTGCAGGGTCCTGCACCCAAGCCCGAGTCAGTGCACAACGTCATCATTCCTTCATCTCGTCGCCCCCCAGAGATCTCGACCCATTCCCCGGGACTGGTTTTTCATGCTGAGTCGTTTACTGACGGTCCCGAGGGCCGGTCAGGGCCCCCAGAGTCCGACGATCGCGAACAACCTCCCGTCGTGATTCCTTCATACTTCGAGGGGATCTTGGTCTCTTGAGCCCCGACGACCCGCCCGCGCCTGGCCGGGGGGCCGCCCCGAGCCTCCCCCTCCCCCTCCTCCCCCTCCTCCTTCTCCTCCTCCTCGCTTTCTCCTCCTCCTCCGCCTCCGCCTCCTCCTCCTCCTCCTCCTCCTCCTGCTCCTGCTCCTCCACATCCTGCTCCTCCTCCTCCTCCTCCTCCACCTCCTCGTCCTCCTCCACCTCCTCCTCCTCCCCTCCTCCTCCTCCTCCTCCTCCTCTCCTGGTGCCTCCTCCACCTCCTCCTCCGCCTCCTCCTCTGCATCCTCCTCCTCCTCCCTGGCTCCTGCTCCCGCTCCTCCCCTCCCTCGGCGGGCCGCTCCATGCAGGCCGCGGCGCCGCTCCGCCGGGGCGCCGGGCGGGTGGGCAGCGCGGCCGCCCCGAGGGACTATCGCCTGCAGGCGTCGCTGTTCAGGAGGAGCCCAGCTCATCACATCGGTTTGAAGAAATGACGCGCCCCGCGTGCTCTTTCTCCTCCCGCTGCCCCCTCCTCTCGCCCCCCCGTCATCATCATCAGCAGCATCATCATCAGCAGCATCATCAGCATCATAATCATCATCATCATCATCATCATCATCATCATCATCATCATCATCATCATCATCATCATCATCATCATCATCATCATCATCATCAGCATCAGCATCAGCATCATCATCATCAGCAGCATCATCATAATCAGCGTCATCATCATCAGCATCATCATCAGCATCAGCATCAGCAATATCATTCTATCATCATCAGCATCATCATAAGTAGTATCGCCATCATCATCAGCAGCATCAGCATCAGCATCAGCAATATCATTATATCATCATCGTCATCATAAGTATGATGATCATCGTCATCACCATGGTCAACATCGTCATCATCGTTATAGCCATCATCATCATACTCAGCATCATCATGATCAACACCAACATCATCAGCACCAGCATCATCATGAGTATCACCATCACCAGCACAGCAAGATCACCACCATCAGCAGCATCATCAGTATCAGCATCACCATCATCAACATAAGCCTCATCTTCATCAGCAGCAACATCATCAACATCAGTATCATCATCCGCATGATCATCACCATCATCACCTTCGTTCCCTGTCTGCCATCATCATCATCATCACCATCATCACAGCAGCATCATTACCATCACCGTCATCATCACCACCATCATCATCAGCATCGTCGTAATCACCATCAGCATCATCGTCATTACCCTAATCCTCATCCTTCTCATCATCATCATCCTCGTCCTCACCCTCATCCGAATCCTCCTCCTCACCCTGATCCTCATCCTCAACGATCATCACAGCAGCATCATCAGCATCGTCATCATCATCACCATCATCAACATCAGCATAATCACCATTAATATCATCGTCATCATCCGCATCCTCATCCTCATCATCACCTTCAGCCTCACCCTCATCCTAATCCTCATCCTTGTCTCCATCCCCGTCTCCGCATCCGTGCTCATCAACATCATCGTTAGTCTCATCAGCATCAGGAACAGCACCATCGTCAGCATCAGCATCAACATCGTCCCCATCAGCATCGCGGTCAGCATCATCAGCAACATAATCAGCACCATCAGCATCAGCGTCAGCATCATCAGCATCAGCATCAGCATCATCATCATCACCATCATCGTCTGCATCATCGTCATGGTCATCAACATAATCATCATCATGATCAACACCAGCATCATCAGCACCAGCATCAGCATGACCATCATAATCACTAGCACAGCAATGTCACCATCATCAGCAGCATCATCAGTATCATCATCACAATCATCAACCTCAGCATAAGTCGCAGCTTCATCAGCAACAACATCATCAACATCAGCATCAGCATCCGCATTATCCTCATCGCCATCACCATCGTTCCCGCCTGCCATCATTACAGCAACAGCATCATCAGCATCGTCATCCTCATCACCATCATCATCAGCATCATCAGAATCACAATTCGTATCATCGTCATCATCCGCATCCTCATCCTCATCATCCTCAGCCTCACCATCATCCAAATCCTCATCCTCATCCTCATCGCCGTCTCCGCATCCGCATACTCACGATTCTCATCAACATCATCGTTAGTTTCATCAGCATCAGCAACAGAACCATCGTCAGCATCAGCATCAGCATCAGCATCATCCCCATCATCATCGCGATCAGCATCACCAGCATCAGTATCAGCAGCATCAGCATCATCACCATCACCATAACCATGAGCATCATCACCATCACCATCATCATAACCAACGTATATCAGCATTAACACCAATATCACAAGCATCAACGTCATTAACATCGTCATCATCATCATAACCATCATCAGCATCATCACCACCACCATCATCACCATAACCATCAGCATCGTAATCATCACCATCAAACTCAGCATAATCATCAACATCATCAGCATCGTCGTTGTCCTCATCACCGCCAGCATCGCCTCATTCACCACTCAATGTCAACATCATCGAATTCATCAGCATCACCACCACTATCATCATCCGCATCGTCATCATCAGCATCATCATCATCGTCAGCAGCATCACCATCGGCATCAGCATCAGCATCAGCACCATCATCAGCATCGTAATCATCATCACCATTACCATCATCAGCATCAGCACCACCATATCATCAGCGCCATCACCATCCTCAACAACATCATCACCACCATCATCAGCATCATCGCCACCGTCACCACCATCGTCATCATCACCACCTCCATACTCATCATCATCCTGATGACCATCATCATCAACATCATCAGCATCAGCATCATCATCAGCAGCAGCAGCATGACCATCCTCATCATCAGAGGCATCATTATCATTATCAGTATCATCAGTCTCGTCGCAACACCCCTCACACCAAAGGCGCAGCTGCAGCGCCCGCATTGCAGTTCTACCCCCATTTCGGTGCAACCCTCCCACGTTCCGTGGCCCCATAGGGAGCTACACCGGAGACCCCAGTGGCAGCGCCCGCATACGGTTCCACCCTACAGTTCGGCGAACCCATCACACGTGTCGTGGCCCCATGGGGAGCTCCACCCAGCGCCCGCATGCAGTTCCACCCCCATTTCGGTGCACCCCTCCCACGTTTCGTGGCCCCATGGGGGGCTCCACCGAAGGCCCCAGTGGCAGCGCCCACATGCCGTTCCACCCTACATTCCGTCGAACCCCTCAGACGCTTCGTGGCCCCATAGGGAGCTACACCGAAGGCCCCAGTGGCAGAATAGCTCCACCGAAGGCCCCAGTGGCAGCGCCCGCATGCGGTTCCACCCTCCATTTCGGCGAACCCATCACATGTTTCGTGGCCTTGCTCCATAAGGAGCTCCACCGAATGCGCCAGTGGCAGCGATCGCATGCGGATCCACCTTCCATGTTGGCACACCCCTCACACGCTTCGCTGCCCCATAAAAAGCTCCACCTGAGGCCCCGGTGGCAGCGCCCGCATGCGGTTCCCCCAGCCATTCCGTCGAACCCCTCAGACGTTTCGTGGCCCCATAGGGTGCTCCACAGAAGGGCCCAGTGGCCCCTGTTGCTGGCCCCCCTCCTTCATCTCACTTCCTCGACGGCCCCAGTGGCAGCTTCCGCATGGCGGCCCCGCCACATTTCGGCACACCCTTCACGCGCTTTGTGGCCCCATACGGAGATCCACCGAGATCGATACTCACAACGACGATACTCACAACTGCATATGCTTGGGTCCTTCGGCAAGCAAATTTCAATCTTAGATTTTTAAAGATTTAGGTCTTCGGGTGTCGTTATCGGGCCCCGGGAGTATGAAACTGGATCCGGGACAGACCTCTGGGACCGCGGATTGAAATGATGATTACTACCACCCGATGTCTGGGCGGCGGGAGCGGACAGCTGAAGTCTCTCGAGGGGCGGAAATGCAAGCGTTCACGCGCGTCCTTACGCTGGCTGCTTGCGCGCGATTGTCGGTGCAGTCGGGCCCGTTACTCGCGTCGGTCACCTGCGCCTCGCATACAAGATTTAAGTCGGGCCTGTCCTCCAACAGGGGGATTTGGACAACAAATCCGCCGGCCCCCTTGTGGGGCCACCAGGCTGCGAGGCGCGTGATTCGCAGTTTCCTGTACCAGTTGTAGTTTCTAGTTTCCAGTGTTACAGTTCTGCTTCTTGATGGTTACTGTAACTAGTTGATTGATTGCTGGTTACTGTAACTAGTTGATTGACCGCGCGAGAGGGGGGGAGGCCCAAACAAGACTTTCCAGCGTCCCCTGGGCGCGTTGTCTGAATTGCTGGGGGGGCTCGAAATCGACACCCCTCACGCAGATCCGCGGGGTCAGGGTCCAAAAACACATGGGATTTGCTACATTTCTGAAATTCCGTGCCACCCCTCACGCAGATCCGCGGGGTCAGGGTCCAAAAACACAAGGGATTTGCCACATTTCTGAAATTCGGTGCCACCCCTCACGCAGATCCGCGGGGTCAGGGTCCAAAAACACATGGGATTTGCCACATTTCTGAAATTCGGTGCCACCCCTCACGCAGATCCGCGGGGTCAGGGTCCAAAAACACAAGGGATTTGCCACATTTCTGAAATTCGGTGCCACCCCTCACGCAGATCCGCGGGGTCAGGGTCCAAAAACACAAGGGATTTGCCACATTTCTGAAATTCGGTGCCACCCCTCACGCAGATCCGCGGGGTCAGGGTCCAAAAACATAAAGGATTTGCTACATTTCTGAAATTCGGTGCCACCCCTCACGCAGTTCCGCGGGGTCAGGGTCCAAAAACACATGGGATTTGCTACATTTCTGAAATTCCGTGCCACCCCTCACGCAGATCCGCGGGGTCAGGGTCAAAAAACACAAGGGATTTGCCACATTTCTGAAATTCGAACCCACCTCTTACGCAGATCCGCGGGGTCAGGGTCCAAAAACACAGGGGATTTGCCACATTTCTGAAATTCGAACCCATCACGCACATCCATCGCAAGGCGTGGTAACCCAAACTGCGAGAACTCCCTCGGCCCTTTCATCGCAAGGTGTGGTAACCAAGCCCTTAAACCATACACGTCTTACCAATCGCCAGGTGTGGTAACCCCTCTTGTGATCAGTTGGTTTTGCTGATTGCGACTCGGCTTCGCATGAAGTTTCGATACTGCTTCACGACAGCGCCAAGGCCTCATGACTTAGCTCTTCCATGGCCCATTCTCCGAGAGAGGGGGCCGGCGGCAGGGGGCGAAGCCCTTACGGATAAAAAAATAGTAATTAGCCTGGCGACGGACCCAAACATATGCAGTTGTGAGTACCGCAGTTGTGAATATCGTCCTCGGTG